CCACGTTTCTTTCTGAAGGTGACAACCCTTCCCAAAGAAGATACCAGTCACGTTTCCATCAAGATGTCCAACCTCTCATACATGCAGGTTTACACTGTTGTTTTCTTACCTCATTACACAGCTCAAGTGCCTGGCTGCTATTCAAATTTACAGTAGACTAACCCTATTAACACTGAGACAATCATTGGAACAAAGCGATATTAAATATATGTTGAAGACTCCTGCAGAAACATTTATCTTTTAGCAGGCCATGTTCCAAATTCTACGTGCTAATCTTATAAGCAGTTTTACTGGAGCACAGAAATGTAACTAGAGTTTATTTTACTTTTATCACTTTTCCTACAGAAAAATAAAGCTCTCTAGCTTGTATTTTGCAAACGAAGCATATTTTTGTGGAAAAAAAAAAGCGGAAAAAAAAAAAAGGATGAGTTTTGAAACTTACAGTTCACACAAAATGTTCTGTTCTAATTTATTTCCTTTCATAAAGTCAAAAGGAAGCCAATTTAAAAATTTATAAGATAGACAGCATCATCATCTTCTGCTTAGGAGGAAATTAAGGCCAGTAGAGGTAATGAAATGGAAAGTTGACTCTGAAAGAGCAAAATGGAGTAGAAACATTTCAGGGTATTACAGTTAAAATATGCAATACCTGGAGAACTCTGTCTCTATGCTGGCCTATACTCAGAAAATTCTAAAGGTGAGAACCTCTATGAAATAGCTGGTTTTAAAAAGTTGCAACATGATTCTACTGCTAGTGGTTTGGGGGTTTTTGAGTGTTTTGTTTGCTTTAAACAAAAAGCCCAATCAATATTGTGGTCTGCTCTATAATGAAGAATGAACTCTTTATAACTTCATTCACCAAGTTACCCCATTTCTTCTGAATAAATGGTTTAAAAGATTCTGAAACGTGTCTTGGGAAAGAGGATGCTACAACGGAAAATTTTAAGTGTAAATCAATATAATTCAATGCAATATGAAAATGGACATTTGAATTCTGAAATTCAATTTCGCAGCCTTAATGGAATGTATTCCACATAATTCTTGCTTTTAACTCAGCATCTTGGCAGATTCTTTGCAGAAGAAGATGGGGGTATACCAGCATGTAAATAAAAACTGGCAATAAGAGAAGTCACAAAACACTGAAGGAAACAGGTTGACTCAACACATCAAACCAGACACAGTGAATTTGTAAACAAGCAAAACCACTGTTACTGCAAAACTTCATTGATATGTATTTAACTGAAGGGTGTGAAAATTATGTGGTTTTCATGTTTTGCAGCATCAGCAGCTGTACATGTACATGGTTTCTTACGAGGTTAAAAATGCAAAAAATTAAGTAATTTACACACACTTGACACGTTTGTATTTTGGAGTAAAAACTGGAAGGCACACAGACTGACAACTGGATACCGGCTCTTATATTTCTAGGACTCACCTGTTCCCCTAAAGTCTAGGAATAGACAAACCTTAGATAATTTGTTGGTGCCAAGAGACAGATTAATCTTGCCTAACTGAAAATAGGCTGGAAAATATCGCATGAACATATATTTCTGACACCTTAAAATACTCATGACTCTCTCATTCACAGTTCAGTAGGAACCAAAAGCAAGACAACAATTAGAAAATAAATATTGTTCTCTTTCCTTCCTATGACACTTTTTCATGTAAGAGATTATGGCATGAAACTGTTTATATCACAGCCCTACTACATATTTCTCTTCTTTTTTTTTGACATGAAATAAACAGAAAACACTGTTCTGAAGAATCAAACTGTAAATTATGTTTGATATTCAGCTTTTCCATTTTCCATATGCAGAACTTAAATTTTATTTCTGACAGGTGACATGGGGCTTATTTTCTTTTTAAATAACAAAGCCTCAGACTCTCCACCAGTATAGATATATACATTTTTTACTACCTGTTATATGAGCTCATATCAGCTAACAGTCTACCTGTGTAAATTAAAATTATTCCCTACACAAACTTGTTAATAAATATCTTGATACTTTTTAAAAATAGTATTCTCCTAAACTTTAAGTTAATGAACATTAACTGCATTTTATGACAGTTGGATGATGCAGAACAGATGTTGAGCTAAAATTTCATTTACCAAATGTCAGCTTAGAACATGTATGTAAAACTGGAATATTAGTAATCCAAACTACATGGTGAAAACAATGGAAAAAATTGTCAACTACATCTGTGCCTGCCAACCATTTTTCTGGGACTTCAGATGAAAATTCCGCCTGAACTGAAGATTCCAGAAAATAATGTTCAGTTTTAGGAACTCTAATTGCTTATTAGGATCAGTACATTCTCTTCTGGGTATCTATTTCTCATCTTGAGCTGACTGATATATAGCAAACACTAATCAAAAGCCTGCAATTAGTATGCTTTTGTCTTGCAGATCTTCCTCTGCCAGTGAGCCTTTGTTTGGGGCTTTGGTTGGACAGGTAGGCTCAGTATCTGAAAATGATGCCTGCCATTCCCCTCCAGGATTCGTGCCAGTCACAAAAAATCCCAACCAACCAGCCAACCAAAGGAACAATATGTCTGTAATGAAACTCAAAACTTATCAGTTGACAAATTCCACCCGCTGACCAACACGTTTACTTTTTTCTTGCTGCATAAGGTATAAACAATAACCCCCTGAGGAACACAATGCAACTAAACACAGCATTGAAAGTCCTTCCCATATTTGGGCCATGTTTTCCTAAATTACAATTATATCTCCCATGTGCTACCCTAAATAATTTCTGTCATTCCATAATATTTTTTCAAGCATCTGGAAAGTTTTCTGTCTCCTCCTTTCCACGCTTGTCATTTATCTACATTTTTTGTAATCTATCCATAGAAATCAACATGTTAAAGGTCTCCTGATTGCTGTTGTTGCTTTCCTACAAACTCCTTCCAATTTTTCAATGTCTTTCCAAGAACAGCAACTGCCGTAGGCCACAGATAGTTTCAGAGGCCAGTCTGGTGGACTGTAGCTTCTGGGGACTAAGGCATAACATAATCAGGTGTGCTTCTGACATTTCTTGATAAGAACTATTCGAACCAACAAGTAAGGGCAGCAATACTGAGTAAAAGACACCATGCACAGCCCGTGGATCAAATGAATCAGATCAATACAAAAGGTATTTTCTAAAATCCCAGTCCATCTAATAGTAATTAGTAATAATATTTAATGGTCCCCTCTAAAGAGTTTATGAAATTCAATTTATACCCATTCACTTCTGCTTTACCTACAGAAATCAGTATTCATGAAAGCACAAATGGTATCACAAGACAAGAAAGAATCAAAAATCAGGCAAATGAAAATCTTGCAAGAGGAAATCTTCTTTTACAAGCACATATCCTATACATTAACTGACTGACAGTTGCAAAGCGATAGCAGAGCAACTAAACAGAGATAACCTTTTCTTAAAAAGATACTGTCTAGGATCTGTAGCGTATCGTAAGTATGTGTTTCCTGTCTACAGGGAGCAGTGCCTTCAACATCATCATGCTTCTCCTACGAACATTTGATATAGATTACCGTCATTTCTCCTCTGGTTTACTGCACTCCTAATGTAATGTTCTTTAAGTCTGAACAAGAGACAATTACAGAGCAAAGCTCTTTTTTTCTCCATGGGCTTTTATGTTCTGGAATACAAATATATCAAAATACCAAGGTTTTAGAAAAAGACTGTTTCCCTCTAGTTACCAATGCTTGCTCTAGGGTAGAGGGAAGAAGGGGAGGAATTCAATTTATATTTTTTCAAATTTCTGGAGGAAAAGCTAAGGGGGGGGGAAAAAAAGGTTAAAGCAGAAGTGTTCTCAACAAGTAAAACTCTGCAATGGCAGAAGTAGCTGTAAGCAGTGATGTTTCTGATGTACCATAAAATTTAGCTGTTGTGTTCCTGGCTGGAGAGACAGAGAACTGAATGCTAAACAAGTAGAGAGGTAAGGTTGATAAGGTTTGCTTTTTTAATGCAGAGAAAGAAATCTTTTCAAATTGTTGCTTAAACACCTCCAGCATTTTTGTTGGGGGTAAATTTTTGGGCTCTCCCATCATTAAATTGCATGTAGCAAAAATAGATAAACCACACCATCTGCCATTGAAAAGCCCTGTATAAATTAACACTTTCAACAAGTTTGAACTTAAGTTACCAAAGAGACTTGCTTTCTTTTCCACTGGAAAACTGAAGAAAATCACCAAGTGCGTTAAGGATTACAGTTAGCATTTCCATTGTCATTATCATGGAAGTCAAATCACTCGCCAGAAAACTCTTTCTCTCTAATACATCTGCCTGTTTGGGATACTCTGCTATATATCTGCTCGCTATAAAGCTTCCTCCTTGCACCTTCCCTAGGTACAGGAGGATGGTCATGCCTCACAGCAACATTAAAAGTTGTACTATATATTTAAAAAGCATGCACAGTAACAACCATTTCTGCAAAGCTGTAATACATACATTCTGTTACCACGTACTGGCATTGGAAGCCTGCACAACACAGAGGGTAAAGCACAAGCCTGATTACATGTTGCTTCGACATTGCTCTGTCTCATTGCACAATACCAGAACATCGTTTTCTGCAGCTTTTATGAGTATTAACTGCAGACAAACCAAGAACTTTAACAACTTCTGCCCAAGGAGCAACTTGAAAATTCTATCCATTAATGGTTAGAGTCAAAACAGTCATACCACTCCTCCCATTTTCAGACAAAACTACTTTCCATAAGCTTTTGAGGGGTGGTAGTACTGTAGGCAGGCTGAAGACACACATTCAAGACCACACCTATCATCTCGTTTCACAGAAGAGCTCATGAGAGCCTTCCAAGGCAAAGCACTAGGACAAAACTGCTATGCAAACAAAATCTTTCATGTAAAATCACGGGGTTTTTGGTTTTGTTTTGTTTTTTTTTTCAATATTCAACAGCAAAAACATACAAAGCAAACTGCAATTACAAACCTCTGCATGATCAAGAAATAGTAGACAAGGAAGGTTTCACCCACCTGGGATCTTTCTGAATGCTATCAATGGAAGGTGACCTAGCCAAGGTCCCTTCAGGTGGGATGGCTGGCCCAGATTTGCTGTATGGTGATTCAACAGAAGGACAATACTGCAGCTGTCGGTAGGGGTCTGCGTAATTGGAGGCTGGGCCGGCCGCATAGCTGGCCCTCTGGAAGGTCGCTGTTGCGTTCTGTGTGCCGTGTTGACTGCCTGTGCGCTGTAAGGGTACGGAGTCGACACCAGGGGAAGATGGGGCTACGACAGGAAAGTAGGGACAAAGTAAAAAATTGAGGACCTGTTCACAGAAATGGTTAACCAGGTCTAGGCAGAGGAAAAAAAAACACACACACATATAAAACAGGGGTCCAAAAAGAATGAGGAAAAAAAACCAAACAACATTGTCATTTTCAAAACCATTGAAGTAAATAACTGTCAAACGAATTTCTAAATGACACTTCTGGACTAGAAGACTTTTACACCAATTAAATAGATCATAGCAGTGCTTTTCACCTGGGGTTTTAACTGCACTAACCTGAAATGAAAAGAGCGCAGAAGCAGCATGGGAATCGGGACTCACAACCACCACCAAGTGAGGCTTTTCCAGACCTTACAAGGGTGTGAATCAGTCAGATCAACCAGCAAAAGGAGGGTCAAACCAGGCTCAAGAGCCCAAATTGAGACAGATGGTTTTATAGCACAAGAAACAGACAGGCATGGTCATCCCAAGTTTGTAGCCCTGGTATCCGTAAAGCAGGTACAACCAGACACTTGCTACTGAGAGTTGCTGCCTACTCTTTTTGTTAAAAGTTCTTATGCGCATTTCACCTTAAGTAAGACTTAGGGGACTGATACTGCTAACTCAGTCTGAAAAAGAGCTAAGCACAAGGTGATCACATGGATGTCTTAATGCATGCCAGCAATGGCTGTGCTCACACACCACAGCTCAAGATTAATGCATTACCAGTTTTGAGCCGCTTAACCAATAGATGTAAAGTGACCTAATGCTTTTGTGACTGAAAAATCTTATTAATCTCTCTTGTAGCCCATTATCTTTCTGTTACAGCATCATGTACTAGAGATCCAGTCTGCTTTATAATTCTTATTAAACACGCAGTATTTCTGAACCAAAGTCCAGTCAATGGCAAATGGCTTATCACTGTAATGGGCCGAGGACCAATATCCACATGATCTTTGGCCTGGAAACAAATACAAATTAAATGCTGGCTCTGCTCAGAAGGAAATTCGGGCTGTTTGAAGTGGCACATGATCTCATGGTGGCTCCTGTTTCCCCCTGTCCCAAGACAACAAGAATACTTTTGCCAATGGGAGTGGGCCCGGGTCCAGGACTACTTTTAGCTGGGTGAAAATCATATGTTAAACTGTAGGCAAAACCACATATTAAAGAGGCAGGTTTTCATAATAGATTTCCCAATAATTTCTTATAAACATGCACATTTACATTTTAAGAAAATAAATATTTAATATATTATAGGTCCATGAAAGGGACTTTAAATGTTTTATCTCAAAGCGTCAGCAAATGAAATACAGTGAGCTTTAAATACAACTACAGCATTTTTATCTGACCTAGTACTTGTCAAATTTACAACACCCGAAAATTTTAAATTTGTATCAAATCTTCTCCTCATTTCTAATTTTTTCTTCTGGTTCTGAAGGACATAATTTTACAATAACAAGTATTATGTTATAACTTAAAACTTGTAAGTGGGATCACCCACTTATCTATTGCCCCATCATTGGGAGTGTTCAAGGCCAGGTTGGACCGGGCTAGTGAAAGTGTCCCCGCCCATGATCTTTAAGGTCCCTTTCAACCCAAACCACTCTTTGATTCTGTGATTACATTAACTTACATATATAGCAACATTTCAGAACTACCGTTTTTCCTTAAGAAATGAGTAATAAGATACATATAGACCTTTTCGTAAAATTGCATCAGTTAAAATGCAATAACAGTATTAGCATACTGAAATATCTCATGCACAGATCATGCTAAATTCAGTGTTAGGAAGACACAAGGGAAACATCACATTTTAACAGGAAATACACACAGTTCAAAATAAAAATTTGGTGCCTTGTGAGAAAAAGAGTAAAAGAAAACAGAGAAAATACTGGAAGTATTTTCAAGTGCAAAAGCAAAAAATGAAATTGTATACTGACACAGAATACTCTTAAGTACTGCCACTCTGCAGAATATGCTGCTAGCTTTTGACATGTGGGGAATTGCAAAAAACCCTACAACGCTAATACTGCTGAAGACAAGAACTTCACTGCAATGTATATTGCTTTGCAAAATATTCCACTGCATTTCCCTGCCTCTTCTTTGCAAGACAGTTCGATGGAAATCGTGTTTGTTTTTAAACTCTTTGAAAACTTTTCTATTTTCTCTTTTGTCTTGTTATCAAAATAGGTATTTTTATGAACTGAAACTAGCTGTTGCCCTAACACCTACATGCTTTTTGAGTCACTCTGATTCATTTCTCAAATTATCTTCCTAGCAGACTGTTACTTCCTTTTGAATTTCATCACAATGAACACAGGAGTGCCACAGTCAGAATAAGAGAATGAGACAAATATATGACTTAGTTAAACATTCACAAATCAGCTTGTTTGGCCAGTGTTACCCAGATCAATTAAAAGAAAAAAACAAAAGTCAAACAACTAACACTTTAGAAGAACTTGTACATCTAACTTGACTACAGCCCCCTTCATGGACTGTCAAAGGGTTAAGCTTTAGCAGACATTTTTCACTAGTAATTTCATGTAGAATTAAAGCAAAGCTATCTCCTATCAAAACATTACTCTTGCTTTAACAAACCCTTTTTCAGCCAGACTTACTGACTGAAGTGTGGCTCTTTAGGCTATGGAAAACTTTCCATCTATTGAGATCTCTCTTCTATTTAGCTATTAAAACAGAAAAGCCATAGTGATTATGTCTATTAAAATAAATAAATTCAGAAGTCCATTTGCCTCACACAGCAAGAGCAAGCCTTCAGTGAGCATGGGGGCATGCAGAAGTCACACACTTGGAGTGGCCCAGAAAGCATTCATGTACCAGCTATCTTTGCAGATGGTCATGAAACATTTTTACATGTTTTTAAACTGAAGACACTTACCTCTTTCTTTAGCTTTCACATTTGACTCTCAAATCTAAACCACCTACACCTCAGCCAGAATCACCTCATCACAGGTAAGACACAATACTACTTTGACAAGGATCAGGGGTTTGCCCCAGCAAGGGAAGAGAGGAGTTAACAGAAGTGCTGTTTCTGGAGAAATGGGCTGCTTCCCCCAGCTCAGCACCAGCCAACAGCCCAGCTATCCTGGGATCTGTCCTGGCTGAAACAGGATCATGGCCAAGTCACTTCACTGCCCTGGGTCTATGGTGGACCCTATTCTGCCTCCACATAAAGGTAAAACCACAGTTATGTTGTGAACTTTTGAAGAAGCAGGTCTTGTTCTGTGGACACCTTGACACCCTGTCGATTTAACAAGAAGCTTGGAGGTAAAGATGTCTACAAAACGAGACCTGCTCTTCTTCTTCAAAGTCCCAGAACTTACAAGGAGATCAAGATTAAATTCAAAGAAATAAAAGGCCTCAAAAATTTTACTTACCCTGTATCTTGCCTTGCCAAAGTGACCACCTATGTAAGCACTGTTTTTAATAGTGACTGCTGCCCCACTTCTAAAAAATTAGATGGAAATTCAGTGGTTGATGTCAGATACATATCACAGGTTCTGCTCTGCTCCTTTTGCACCTCAGCCTACTTACAGCTCCTTCCTGCGACTGCTCAGTAGTGGCCTTGCAGAGGCACAAGGAGAGGGAAACTGGCAATGTGGCCGCCCCTTCCAAGTACCCCACTCCAGACACACAAGAGGGGCTTGTACAGACCACAGCCTGCAATGCTGATGTGGCTTGCACTGACGGAGGATCACAGCACCCACTCTCTGCCGCAGCTGGCAGATACTGAGTATAGCAAGTAACATGCTCAGTAGTAGGCAAATAAATCTCTATACTTCCATGACATTTTAAACTTCAGCGTAAGAACCATGCTTGAGGAGAATTTTAATTCTGGGTTGAGAAAAGGGTTTCACTGAGAATTTCCACTGAGAATTTCCAAAGTGAATATTTTGCACTGTGCAAGTCCAGAACTATAGTCTCAGTGAAGAGATTTCAGTTTGTCACATAAACATTTAAGATCTTGTTTTAATCTGACATGTCATTAATATCTTTAAATTATTGTATCACCTCAACCCTTCACTACTGAAGTACCGAAATCACATCCCAAAAAACGGAGCATCTGGGGCACCACACAGATATTTAATATAAATCCTTGACAAAGAGAAAGAAAAGCACTTCTTAACTATAATGAAAACCTTCCAAAGACTGGATGTATGCACTGATTATGGTTCTCTTGATTGAAGAAACAGCATACGGAAAACCTAGCCTTGATAATTTTCTACGTCTTTTGCATAGCATTAACAAAGATACAGCAACTTTTATACTAATGCTGAAAATTTAGGTGTATCACTAAATATACTCACAGGCTCATTAATGAGATACTCAGAAATTCACTTTCAGATTTTGTATCTTCTTTTAAAATCTGTGACAGCTCTAGAAACAACTAACAAAATCCAAAAAGCAAGAACATGTTGATTTAGGCAGGGATGCTACTGCACCACACTGAAGTATCTTAGGAAGACCAAATTCACGTAAGAACTGTTAAAAGGTTCAGACTTTCTAGAAGTCAGAGGGAATTTTGCCCAGTCAACATACATAGGATCAGACCTTCAGAGAGGATAAACTTTTAATTTATGAGACTTATATTGCTTGGCTGATGCTGCTGTTTGATTTGTGGATATTACTTTGTAAAATTTCCCTCTTATTATTCTGTATTAGACATTCAGTTCCTGTGTTAACCTTCTCCTTGTGCCTTTCATAGATTTCACAATTCTTTAGGCTTTTTTTCTTTCTTTTTTTTTCTTCACTGATTAGCACCTGTAGTTGCTTCCTACTCTCATGTTAAAGTTGAAAATTGGATCCCAGTAAGACGTCTTTTCTATGTCTACCATCCCTCCATGAGTTCATAAATGATACAAATGCAGTGGATTCTGTCAGTAGCAAATATACAGGAGATATATAAAACAGATACTTGTCCCATCCAAAACACCATAAAAATAACACAGTGCATTCTCTGTCAATTAGGAGACAGAATTCATTAAGTTTGGGGGATACAAACACTTTAGATTTCTAAATGTTACATAAGTGTTTTAGAGTATGCACCAGCCTTTTTGCAATAAAAGTT